CGCTCTGCCGCTCTCTCTCTCCCCTTAAATAAAAAATCCCCTGCGCTTATCCCTTTCACTCATCCGCCCTAGAGCTCTCTCAACCAAAACAAAAAAAATCCACTGTGTTTATCCCTTCCGTCCAAATTCGTGCCATCCTCTTCCTCATCAGATTCCTCGCCTCCAAGGTCCATTTCTTCCCGGCACCGTCGCCCGCTTAAGGCTCGGGCCTAGTGGCACCTTGCTGCTCGCGGCAACTTCTCCTGTCAGTCCTTGATGCGGATGTGGCGGCGCTCCATCTCGTCATCGAGCCACTGCTGCTCAGTCCCTGTACCCCCCCCTCCTGGTCCCTAGTAGTGGGCACCGCCTCCGCCTCCACGTCTCGGCGATGGTGGTGCGAGGACACGCGGCAGCAATTGCGGTTGAGGTTGCGGTCGCCGTCCTTGTTCTCCAAAGCTTTTTGGGTACTGCAGTCCCCCACCAGGTAGGCCATGGTCGCCGGCGACGCCGTGTTTCAAGTGTTTCAGGCATTTCAGACTTATGTTTCAAGTGTTTCATCTGAATGTTGCAAAAGTCGATCTGGGATGTTGCATATGTTGCTACGGCAATATATGCATGTTGCAAGCCTATGTTTCAATGTTTCATGTGTTTTGAGACGTTTGTTTAGAATGTTTCATCTGGATGTTTCAAAGTTGATCTGGTTTTGCACATGTTGCAATGGCTATACACGCATGTTTCCAGTGTTTTATCTGTCTTCAAACGTATGTTGCATATGTTTCATGTGGATGTTTCAAAAGTAGATCAGGTGTTGTACGGCGACGGTGGCTGGCGAAGAGAGGCCTGCCGCAGGGCTTCGGCTCCTACCTCGCGCCTCGCCCTCTCTCTCCTCTACCACCCCTCCATTCCTCCATCTCGCCGTGGCAGTTCGAGCTCGACCTGAGTGGGATGGGCGCGAGGCGTTGTGTGCGTCGGGCGCAAGTACAGGAGCTCCATCTGGACGGACGCCACCTCCGGAGCAGGATGGGCGCGGGGCAGATGGAGTTGCGTGCGCGCGGTAGGGAACGGGGTGCAGGCGCGGGCGTCTATCGGGACGTACAGAAGCTAAGCACTACCGTTCTTAGAATTCAGTGGAATGAATTTATTTGTGATATTAGCACTAATTATAAGCCTAGAACGAGGTGGTGATTTATCAACTCATCTTATTTTACAAACTAAACAAAAAAAGTAATAACCAACAAAAAAAAGTAAGAAGTGAGGTGACGATGAACTATCTCATTCCATAAATCAAACAACTATTGCCTGATCGGATAGGCGCTGAAATTGCGCGACGCCATAAACCATCGTGACCCCAAAAAGCCGCTGAAATTGCGCGACGCCACGAACCATCGCGAGTCGCGACCCTAAAAAGTTTGTATTGGGCTGACTGCTTCGCCATATCTGTGGCCGTGGTGCGTCATGCCATCGATCCCTCCACGGTCGGCAATAAGGACGATGCGGTCCATATTTTTTCTTTTTCTTTTTAATTTTATTATCCGCTTGTATTATCCTCGTATTTACAGAAGGGGGAAAGTTGTTTCTCACCTATTTTTGCAGATCTCGTTTTCATTCGAATTCACATTTTTATTCTGTTTTTATCGCGTTTTTAATCTATGTGGGGGCATGATATGCACCGATCGGTTGGCAGTGAGGACGATGCGATTAGTACCTGCTTCCACGACGTTAGTTGCTCTTCTTTGGTAAAAATTTCTTCTAACAATACCAAACCCAATCGTGCATAAAAGTTGTATCATACTTTTATGCTTACGAGCTAAAGTTCTAGCATATGGAAGTTATGAAAGTCGAAGTATACATTTTAGTCGATACAAAGTCTGTGTTTTCGATGATCCACTATGATAATGAAAAAGATTTCTACATATTTGACTAAAACAATCAAGAATATCCCAGTCGGATAAATCAGTCCAAACGGGTTTACTCTTAAGATGCTACGGTCCAGTACAAAACTGAGCTTTCGATAAGAATCCAACAAGGGGAGTAGTAGGAGCCGTGGTATCGAATTTTTTCTTTCAAGTATCTGTTAGAAAAGAATTCCCTAGCAGTTGATTTCTTATACGTGCCAATGGGCCAAACCGCACATCCGGTAGTGCTGGTTGGGGAAAAGTAAGATCTGCTTATGTAAACATTTATATCAAGTTTAAAAAAGTTACAGCCCAAAGTAGATTCCGATTTCACCGTTTTATTTCTTACCATAAATACTTAAAAACAAGACTTCACATAGATATATTTAGACAAAATTTTATTAAAGAACATCTTTCTCATCAAGATAGATTTTTTTTATTAAGCAAAGTGATGTTGTAGATCTGAGATAAAATGTTTCATTTTTTATAGGACAGATGTTCTAAGTTCAGAAGAATAATATTCCAGACTGAGTATGGGCAGAACTTTTTTCAACGTGTTATTCAGGTCCTCAGACCTTAAAAATGCATTTTGAGGTCATCGAGCTTGTCTTTGTATGTCATCTACTCCCTCCCTTCCAAATTATGGCCCTGTTCGCTTCGTTGAAAAAAAATTGAAACACTGTTTCGGCTGATTTGTTGTGAGAAAAACACTATTTCGGCTGAAAAAACAAGCTAAAAAATACGGATTATAAAACAAGCGAACAGGCCTATACGTCACCCCAACTTTCTTGGGATTAGATATGTGATAGGTAAACGATCGATAGAAATAATAAGATATGTGATTATAGTTTACTGTTTACGGGTTACAACCCTTGTTGATTGAGTTTGGGCTGGGCTGGGCTGGGCTGAGCCAGGCCAGCTGATTATCACAGAGTATGTTTGGGTAGCTGTAGCTAGCTTGTTGCAAGCTGCTGCTACGACTGACTGAGAGCCGCGCGCGGGCACAGCACACGTGACCACTTGAAGATCTCGCCAGTCGCCAGTTGCATGCATTGCATCGCATCGGCGCGAATCACAGTGGCCGTGCACACGCTGCGCTGCGCTGCGGGCGCTCCAGGCCCAGGTGCTCCGCATTTACTCGCATGGCCGGGCTGGTCACTGGTGGCACCTCTGATCGATCCAGCATTATTGGTGAACTGCATCTGCATGCATGCACGCATGCATGTGGTGGACTCGTCGACGCGACGATCACAGCATGCAGAAGCACGATACTGCGGCAAGCCTGCAACTGCAAGGAAGAAATAATAGAGCCATGCATGCATGCATCCACACATGAAATATTTTACTACATTCTTTAGCCCGGGTTTAGTTCGCGAAATTTGAAAATTTGGGTTACTGTAGCACATTCGTTTTTATTTGGTAATTAGTGTTCAATCATGGACTAATTAGGCTCAAAACGTTCGTTTCGCAATTTCCAACCAAACTGTGCAATTAATTTTTTTTCGTCTACATTTAATGCTCTATATACGTATCGCAAAATTTAATGTGATGAATACCATAGCATTTTTTGGGAAAAATATTCGCGAACTAAATAAGGGCTTATTTACTGACCCTCTGGATCACTGCCTGCACCTACCTACCTACCTATGTATATATATGTACGTGTGTGGGTGTGTGTGTGTCAGTGTCAGTGTGTGTGAGAGATCGAGATGGGAATTTTACTATACACATGAGATGCTTTTTAGATGGAGAGAGTGTATTTGGTTACGTACGGAGATCCAACAGCTACTACACACCTGCATGCACATCACACACATACATACGTATCGAGAGCGACGTGCTGTTTACTTGCCGTGCGAGCGAGGTATTTAATTTAACCCCGGTAGGACTACCACTATACCTGATGAGCTGATCTCTCAGTCCCCCCAACGCACACTGCTGGTATGTCCTCAGCTGCCAAGCTCCTGTCTACTGACGCCAACAGCGACGTCTTTGTCCTCAGCTGGCTCCTGCGTCTACTGACTCACCCACACGAGCTAGTTGTTGTACACAACAGTGCATCCAGCTCCTCCATCAATATATCTATACAAGCATGCATTCCACCATCGTCGTATAATATAACAATAGAGTAATAATATCCGATTATTTACCCCTAAAGTTGTCACTAATGAATTTAAAAATCACTCTCTAACTTAAATACTAGAGAACTTCCTCCCTCAGTTTCCAAAACCAAATAAAATAACCCCCCCCCTGACCATTTCAGAATGGTTTCTTGTGTGGTTTTGCTGACATGATGGTGGACCCACATGTCATACAATCTCTCTTTCTATTATCTAAAAAAAATCATAATTTTTTTTGTATGAAGTTGGGCAAACTTTATATCAAAACTACAGAGCTAGATGAGATGCACAACTTTTTTATTTGAGATATTTTAGAGACTTAAATAGTCGTTTTAGATTATTAGATTTTGAAATTTATTTTTTTAATTTTTTCAAACGACCTAGAATGTTGACATAGTGTAAAGTTGTAGTTCTCAATCGGTCTACAACTTTATTGTTGATAAGTTTTTTTTTGTCTGAGGTCGTTGAGAGGATCAAATTCATTTTTTAAGATCTCAGATTTTGAAAATTCAAGATTTTTTTTAAAATTTTCTAACAACCTTGTTTAATTGACATGGTCTACGCCAAAGTTATAGCTCTAAATGTGATCTACAACTTTGTAGTTGACATATTCTTAATATGAGATAGTTTGGAGGCCCAAATATTCATTTTAACTTCTCTCATTTTAAAGCTCATTTTTCTTGTATTTTTTTTTGAATGACATTGGGCATTGATAATGGTCTATCTATACCAAAGTTATATATCTCAATGCGATTTATAACTTTGTGCTAGGAGGCCGTATAGCCGTGCCTAGGTCAAGAAGTCGGGACGACGACATAAATAGCGTATAGTGCGTGCTAGTGTCATGCCTATTAGTGTTGTGCCTAGTATTGCTAGTGATGTGTTGTTCCCTTGGCCATCTATTGATGCGTGTTTTGGAAAAAGAAGACTAGTAACCGACAAAACACGAAATATGTGAAAATGACAGATGGTGTCATCGTCACACGGCCGGCCACAAGATTAGCCCATGGAGAAGATCCTCCTGGGCGGGCGACGGGACCAAAGGAGGAGTTGCTGTAGCTGTACGTCGGAGCGAGAGCAGTGCAAATAAAAGCATGACAAGGTTGGTCGGTCGATGGATGGCGAGGCGAGGGTCAACAAAAGCAATACATGTGCCCCGAGACTTTGCGAGCATGCAGCAGTACTCAGAGGCCAAGGCCCTGTTTGATACAGGGCCGAGGGGGTGGCCTGCGCCCTCCAGCTGGAACAGCCCATGTTTGATTCACTTGGTCCAGCTGCCGGCCCGGCTCCCCGGATGCAAAACACGCTCTCTCTCCTGTCACCTCCCGGCCCATTCGGAGTTTTCACCTCCCGTTCTCGCTCTCGCCACCGATGGCGCCGCCGCCAGGGTCACGCACGCTCACGCCGTTTCCCTCTCTGTGCCTCCCTCCCCACACACGCCGCCATTCACCTTCCCGTTTCCTCTGTTGGCACCGCAAGGGGATGCCGAGGCCTCCCAGACACCCATCGGCGCCCATCCTTTGCCGTTTCAGCGTCTCCCGATGAGCCGTCGTACCCGCCGTACACCGCCGTCCGCCTCAACCTGATGCCGGCCTTCCCCGAGCCGTCTGCGTCGACCGCCGCTCCTCCGCGCCCCGCGCGGTGGTGAAGCCGGCGCTAGCGAAGGGGACGCCGTCGGCGTCGGTCCGGCTCCGCAACGGGAGCCTGAACGCGGTGCGCCTCCGCAGCGTGTTCGACCTGTTCGACCGCAACGGGGACGGCGAGATCACGGTGGACGCGCTGGGCCTGGACGCCGACCGCACAGGGCTGGCCGCCACCGTCGGCGCCTACGTGCCCGACGGCGCCGCGGGCCTCCGCTTCGAGGACTTTGACAACGGGGACGCCTTCTTCGGCGCGCTCGTGGACCAGCAGGACGAAGCCGCGGATGGCGCCGCCGTGCACGCTCGCCGCGAAGCCCAAGGACGAGCCGGACCCCGACGACGGCAGGCAGAGGGTCACCGTCTTCTTCGGCACGCAGACCGGCACCGCCGAGGGCTGAGGTTGTGGATGGTCAGCGTCGTCGACGTCGTGGCTTCGCCGCCTTACAAGTGCTCGATAGAATGACCAAAAGAGAAACAGGAGGAGGGTAACTTCACCATATCCAGATGGAAGGTCATTCTATCCATGTGTACACCAAATCAAACACAATCCCAACCTGACCCGACTCACTGGAATCATGGCAATCAAACAAGAGGGGGTACACCATGGGAGCCAGGCTGTGGCTGGCCACAGCCATGCCAGCCGGCCGAGCCACCCAGTGGCTCCATATCAAACAGGCCCCAAAGGACTACTGCGCAGCTAGCGGCGCAACCGGCCGGCCGGCGGTCAGCAGACGGCAGGCCGGAGAGATTCGTTCGTGCCCCCTGCCTGCATGCCTTTGGGTTTCAAAGCTCACCGAGCATGCAAATGCAAGGCCTTCGTTCGTTCTCTTCCAGCTAGCTAGCGCTAGCTACCATCAACGCTTTAAGTGGAAGAAGATCTAAAGCAGCAGCCCAACAATGGCTTGGAATCTTTGGATGGACTTTGTGTAAAGAAAGTGGAAGCATGTCAGTAGGAGATTTACATGCATGCATATGCCTTCTGACACCGAGTTGCCTAACGTAGAGTTGCAGCCCCAGTTCACATTCCTCCATCTCGATGCCCATTAGCTAGCTCCCAAAACATGTGAGTCGTGGATCTAGGTGTGTGGTTAACTCAATAGCTATATGAACATGTTCCAAATAGTCTTGACATGTTAACACTAAAAAAGGAGGTGTTTAATTGTTTCATAACAATCACATAGACAGCACGTACTTCTGGCTACTAGTCCAATTACTTTGGGCTGAATTATTCTTTTTTTAAAATTATACCTCACTAAAGTTACCAAAGAAAAAATCTTCATCTTAAGAGGAATTTTCATCTTCCAGATAAATTTATTAATAAAAGGAGTATTATTTATTAGATACTAGTACATCGATTGTATTGAGGATTAACCATTATTGTGTAGGTCACAATGAAAATATCCCTCTCATTAGAAAGATGAATGTTGGCTATTTTAGTTACTAGGTTATGCCAAACCATCATTTTATCCCCAACTAATATTGTGTGAAATGATACTTTGACCAAATTTGTCCAACTTTATAGAGAAGAGTGTCAATATCTACCACATGAAAGACACAAATTATTCGACAACAATTTGTAATGTATCTAATAATGTTAAGTTGATGTCATAAGTATTATTGTTTTTCTATAAGCTTGGCCAAACTTGTGATAGTTTCACTTGTACAGACTTTGATCCCTTATATTTCATGACAGAGTGAGTAGTATATTATTATAGAGGCTAGGAAATTTGTCTTTTAAGGGCGTGGAACTGTGGAACCTACCCATGTATCTTACGAATCTGGTTTATGAACCATCTCTTATTTTGAAGGTTCCACATCCTAGAAAATTGTTCCTAACCTTTAGAAGATCTTTCCAAAACCGAGAGTTCCCAAGTTTAATCGTACTTGTATCTGACATTTTGAGCTTAGATATTTATTTCTAAGTAGGGTCATGTTAGGTTCTGTATTAATTAAGCAGTTTAAATAATCATTTGCTCAGAAAACATATGTTTTTTTTTTCCAAAGGTCTATTATCCCTAGGCCTCCTTGATCTTTGTGGCAATACATGTTGTCCCACTTGGCAAGTTGATATTTTGTTTATCACTATTATATTGTCTTGACAGACGAACCTTGATCGATAAAAGAACCAGTATTTTGAGCACACCCTTCTAGATTTCCAAAAAGGATATCATGAACGTAGGTAGGTTATTCAGAGCCGAGTTTAGCAGCCTAGTTTGGCACCATAGGGTAAGTGTTTGTCCTAGTGAGTACTTAGTTTCCATTTAAATTAATCTTTCTTCAATCATACTCCACTCCGCATTGTGTAGTTCACGGTGGTTCATTCGGATTCCTAAGTACCTGAAGAGGTATGACCACTCGTACGAGCATATTTGTAGCAACTTTGGTTTGAGTAAGCAGAGATGGGAAAATTTTGAAGGTAGATGTCATTCTTTTGTTGTGACCTGAAGGAATATGTGGCCATGGATCAAGAGCTAATAACGTGTACATCAATTTTGTCTCTTTTCCGGCCCCTTATTAATTACTTAAATCTCGATCGATATAATAACACTATATATCAACATTCAGTTATCCAAAATACACGCTGAAAACTGATCCACGTCGCTTTAAACTCTAGTCTGAATGAAAACTAAAATTTCCACGAGATTTCAAGATCTTGCTTGCTAATGGTTTACCTTACCGGTCAGCAGGGACTATTTCTGGTTTCCCCGGCCAGGGTCCTATATGCACATTATTTGTTGCATATTATATATATATAGCTAGGTGCACGGATAGGCACGCGTCAACTCGTGTCCAGGGCTTCAGGCAGGCACACGTGCGAGCTGATACTCGGTATCGGAGTGCAGTCAGTCTCTCAGAGCGCCGCACACAATGCAGCAGAGGAATCTAGCTTGATGAGCTTTTGCTCATGGACGAGCGAGCGAGCGAGATCTATACACCATGCCATGCATGCATGCATGTTTGCTGATGAGAGCGAGGGAGCTGCTTTTCATGCGCTGTCGAGTGTCGACGACGCATGTGGCCTGGCTGGTCCATACACACAGTACTACAGTACTATATATGCATGCGACGATCGCTTTCAGATTTTCATCTTAGCATAGCATAGCATAGCGTAGCATAGCATGCATGCATGAGTGCTATGCTTGTTAGCTATAATGAGCTACGACCTAGCTACGCTCCACGCGCATGCATACAGATGAGCTGATTGCAATTCTCGAAGGATTGGCAAACCTGATCTGATCTCTGACAGATGAAAAGCGATCCAGCCGTGGACGCTGCTGCGCTGGTTCAGCAACTTTTCTTGCATGCAGGGAATTTTAATTCCGTCCACGTTGTTGTTGTTATTATTATTATATATATGTTGGGATTGTTTGAGGATATGTTGTGAATGATGTATACACCTCATTGTTACAAACCAACGTGAGTATAAACGACCTACTCCTTCCATTTTAAGTTATAAAATTGCATCTAGAAAACGTCTTCCGATTTGAGGAGGAGGAAGGCAGTATGTGTAATCAAGGCACATGGTACATTATATTTTTATTATGGCTGTCTTATGGCATAAGTAGTTCTTACTTCACTAGCACCCAAAAAAAACTTAGGGCATATGTATTGGTGCGATTTTGCCTCTAGCTCTAATGGTAGCTTCAAAAAAAAAGCAGAGGAGTTGTACCAAATGCCCGAGGAGAAGAGGAGCCGTTTTTCGACGTATTTATAAGGAACAAGAGTCATTTTTGTGTACGGAAGAGGACCTACATTTTGAGGCTTATGCTCCAGCTTTGGCTCTAGCGTATGAGCTGTGCCAAATAGACACCTAGTGCCACCTTTTAAGCCTTATCCCTGCCGTTTATTTCGAGCCAGCAGGTTAAGTATAACAACCAGTTATGCAATTGGTAGCTAAGGCCATGTTTGGATCCACTCATCCAAAGTTTAGATCTAAAGTCCCAAAACAGGTGGTCTAAAGTTAGGCCTAAACTTTAGACCATAAATGTGACGTAAAGTGGTCTAAAGTTTTGATTCCTCTGGCCAAAATACGATTTTACCCCCGCATTTTATCTCTTCCCTCCCACACATGCTCGAAAATCAGAACTTTGCGGCCTCGCTCGCCAAACTCCTACCTCCGCTTGCACCAACTTCACCAATTCCGTCGCGGCCGTCACATGGGCTAGTTGTTCTTGGCCCCTGTCGCTCCACCCGTGTGCCCAACGAATAGGATGCCACCGTCGTGCCTTTCTCCCACCGCCTCGTGTGTGTAGCAGTCCTCGACGCGCCCAGCAACCTTCCCGTTGCTGCCACTGCACGCCTACCCCAAACCACCTCTCCTTCTCCTCGTCTGAGGCCACCAGCTGCGGTGCCTAGGGAGGTCATGGCAGAGGTCCTATATATGCCACCTCGAGCTCTGCCTAGCTAGCTAGGTCTAGCGGGCGGCCAAGGAGCTTCACCTCTGCGTCCTCGTCTCCTTTAGCGTTGGCCTCCTCAGCGTCCTGCTCCCACATGGACACAAAAATCTTTTGGTTGAATGTGAAAGATAAACTTTAGTCCATGATCCAAATAGTTGTATGGTCTAAAGTTTAATGGCTAAAGTTTAGCCCTAAACTTTAGACCTTAATGAAAGTATCTAGGCCCCTAATTTGGTTTTAGCGATTAATGACGACACAATCAGTATGACTAACGTGTGTGTTTTGTAGATGCATTATAAGTTCGGTCAAAATGGTGATTGATTATTAGGGAATCAATGATTTTCATGCCCCTATATGATTCGTTTTGGTTTTGCTTTTCAAAGGATGAGCGGCAAGGTTAAGGACGGACTAGTTTTAAGTGTCGTTTGACGTTGAGAGACACTTAGAGTAGTTTAGAGACTTTGCTTTTCCTATGGCTGTACTATAAAAGGGGTATGAGCGGGTAGCTTTGACCTAGGTAAGTCTAGTGAGTAGATGTGATGCACAATTGTCAAACTTAGCTCTAGCTAGCTCAAAGAAACTGTTTGGTGTCTCTAATATAATGATGATCTGATGCACACTAATATAAGGGCATGTTTGGTGTCACTCTGGCTCCGGCTTCGCTGGTAGCTCTGGCACTGGAGCTGGAGGAGCTGCATGCACTGGACGTCTAAGAGGGGAGAACCGCTTCTACACATTTGGAAGAGGAGCCATAGCCGTTTCACATGTATGGAGGCGAAGGTGCTTTCTAGGGGCTTTGGCAGCGGGACACCAGCAGAGATGATCTACGCTAAATGCGCCCTATAATAAATCAGCATGAGTGCTTTTTAGTAATGCTTGCTGTTTGGAGTGATATGTTTGTTTGAATGGTGACCACGCATTGTCACACTTCCTATAAAAATATAATCTGTCAAATTTGTAGATAACAATGTGTTTGCCACACATTAGGCATGGTTAGGAAAAGAAATTGGTCAATGACAAGTGGGCTAGAAGTATGCTGAGTTGTAATTGTGTCAAACAACAGTTT